GCTAAGTAATTTCGAATTATATTTAATGTGTCTCCATTATTCTCAGCACATGGGAGGTTCTTTCTAAGCTTTCTTTGATTTAACTTGCTATTTTCGTCGATAAGTGAAATCCGCTAAATTAACTTCATGTGAACATGTCAAATAAAAATAGAACTCATTAATACGCTAAATTAAAACCCAGTAAAATTATTCAAAGTATTGAAATAGCGAAATTAAATGTCAGTGAAAATAGATTTTTACAGTAGCTTATCACATACTACAGTCACAATACAGAGAAATTTCAATCTATTGTGAAACCATAGACCTTAAGGTAGAAGGCTCAAGCCTACTCATAAATTAAAAAACCCAGAATTTATTCATTTTGCAATAAATTGTACTCCAAGGCAATATAAGGTTATTGACCTAAAAAAAGTTGGGCGCCACCAGCCTTTTTTTCGAGATATTGATGGTTGTATTTTAGTGGAAAGTAGCCATTTTGACACTATTATAACACTTTTACCATAGGTTCCTATGGCAGAGATATTATGCAATATCTCAAAATCTAGCCTGGTGACATATTAGGCTGAAAAAATCATATATTGTTAATGATGGAGTACTTTTTGTTGTTCTGAATTATTTAAAAAATCTGAGTTTTAAAAATTTTTCTTTAACATTGTGTTCTATTGAATTGTTCTAAAAATAGCAATTTTCGATCAAGAAATATTAGGACACGTTTCTCAAAAAGCATAACTGTAACACACAAAATAATGCTATTTCATTGTACCATGAGACATTAGCTTCATGATTGTACATATTAAACTAATGAACATTGTCATGCGATTGATGACCAATTTTGTCAAAAATTATGACTAGGCTTCTACCTTAAATATACATTAAAGTCTTTTAAGGGGGTATGGTGAAATGCTTTAATTTTGTAAGGAAATTTTTTTTATGATTTTGTTTGTGAAATTCATGAAATTTCGTACCAGTGATAATTTATCTGATGTCTTAATGACACTAAAATTTTGTCTTTACGATTAGCATAAAATCCTAATATTAATTAAATTAAAATTAAATGGCTTGCAGTGACTACATCTATAAATGTTACACTAAACCCATGGGTCTTGCAACATGAATTGCTTTCAGCATTTCTGAAACGTTGTTAGATTGATCTGGTAAAGACTGATAAAAATAAATTTAGAAAACAATAAATACTTACAGGCCTGAGCGATTTTGCTGTTTTTTCAAGAACTTCACTTAAAGTTTTTTGTTTACATGACGTAATAAAGTCTTGGACTTCTGTTAAATATGTTAGACAGACCTCACTGTCACTCCAAACATGCTGTAAGAAATTGTAGTCATGTATAATAAATGATCATTATTATTTTTTTTTTACTTTCATTAAATGATCTTTATTACTAGTAAAAGGCCTTTGGCCCAAAAAGTTAATAGAAAATTGAGCACTGTACAAATGTAGAGTAGCTCAGCAGCTTCCCTCCACAGATTTATGGCATGGTAGACAAATGCAGCAACACATTGCAAAATCCTTCTGTGATGTGAGTAGAATACTTTATTTTCGCTTGGAATTAATTTTCCTTATTTCGCTGATGAAATAATTCAGTGAAAATAAAATCAGGGGACTATACTTTTTTTCCTATATTTTACATTCATTTCGTCAGTGAAAATAAATTCCATATAAAACATCCAAAAAGCATTTTAGGTGAAAATTAATTCCAGTTAAAATAAAGTATTTTACAGTAATTTATTTTTAAACTTACAATATGTATCAAGTTTATCCAGTCTACAGATATCAGCGAATCATTCAAGAGATAAATAATGTTTAAATCTCATAATAAAAATCTGTTCATTTTAGTTACTGTAGAATACTTTATTTTCGCTTGGAATTTATTTTTGCTATTTTCGCTGAAGGGATGATTCCGTGAAAATAAAACCCAGCGAATATACTTTTTTTCCTATATTTCACATTAAACTCATCAAAAATCAGTGAAAATAAGGTTCACACAAAACACCCAAAAAGCCTTTTCAGCGAAAATTAATTCCAGCGAAAATAAAGTATTCTACAGTACCTTATTTGCATAATAAGTTTTCTGCATTTCCATCAATATCTCAAGTTTAAGTAATTTTGAATTAATTTTTAATGTGCACACAGGAGTTTTTTCTAAGCTTTCTTTGATTTGTGGTTGCTAACGGTATCGAAAATGGGTTGAAAATGGCAGTTTTAGGTTAAATTGTGTTTAAAACTATTTAACTTCCGAGCGCATATGTTTAACTTAGCTTCAAGTTAGGATTAGAAGTGGGAGTACATTAAAAAATCTTTTTGTCATTTTTGGTAAAAAGTGATATTTTCGACTTCTTGTTAAAAACTGCAAGTCCAATTGCTTTGATATTACATATATAGGTACTACATGTGGATCTCTCTCAGATTTGTTCATTTTGTAATGATATCTTCAATTCTCTAATTTTGGTGAATATTTTTGTCATTTTTGGTAAAAAGTGATATTTTCGACTTCTTGTTAAAAAGCGCAAGTCAAATTGCTTTGATATTACATATATAGGTACTACATGTGGACCTCTCTCAGATTTGTTCATTTTGTAATGATATCTTTAATTCTCTAATTTTGGTGAATATTTTTGTCATTTTTGGTAAAAAGTGATATTTTCAACTTCTTGTTAAAAAACCACAAGTCCAATTGCTTTGATATTACATACCGTATATAGGTACTACATGTGGACCACTCTCAAATTTGTTCATTTCATGATATTTTAAATTCTCTAATTTTGATGAATATTTTTATCATTTTTGGTAAAAAGTGATATTTTCTTCTTGTTAAAAACCACAATCATTTATGGTGAAAAATGATATTTTTGAATTCTTGTTGAAAACAGCAAGTCCCATTGCTTTGATACTATACTTATTGTTCATTTTCTAATGATATCTTCTGTTCTTTAATTGAAATGTGCATTGCTAACAGCGGAGCTATCAGCCGAGAGGCTGCTTGTTTATGTTATTATAGGTATTGTAATTATGATGTTATCTTAGACTTTCCTGTGTAGTAATGAACACTTGCATAACTTGTTAAGCTAATTTGAGTTACCTAAAGGCGCTTACTGTTATACAACAGAATTGGGGGGGGGGGGGCTGGTGCGTTGGGTTAGAGTTCGAGTAAAGGGTGGTAGTACATTGGAAAGTCTTTCCCCGGAGACGTAGCAGATTCCAGTCTCACTTACAAAATTATCTTTGCTATGATCCGGACACACGACAAAGAAGGAGACTTCACCGGATGTAAACACAAGTCGTCTTTCACTTTCATCGGCTAACACCAGCTCAAACGAGGTCGAATTTGCCCATACTACAGCTTCTTTGTTCAGGCTAGCGAAATCCATAGCCTCGGCCCCACGTTATTACAAACAGGTTTCAATAATGTGCGTCTGGCGAATATAGAGATAAACGGGAAATGGTTAAACAAGGCACTGTATTTCCAACAGCTGACGAAACCAGGAAGTATTTGTGATTTACTTGCAAACTCTCGCATGTCACGAGATTTTAAGTTAGACGAGGTCGTCACTGACCAATCACAACAAAGTTTTTTTCAAAATGGCGCCCATCATATTAAAATACATGTTTTCACTAGGTTTCAGCTTAACAACATGATTGCGTAAAACCTACTTTGTATTGATGCACGATCACCAACCGTTTTACCGAACCCACTATTTTACGAATTGTTCAGCGCTTCATTGTAGGTTTTTTACAATATGTGGGCGGTAAAACATTCCGTTTGTGCAGCAGTTCTCACCCGGCTTGTTTTGCTGTTGTATGGAGAGTGGCAAGATCGTACGATGCAAGTGAAATACACCGATGTTGATTACCACGTATTTACTGATGCTGCACGTTATGTGACACAGGTACGCAATAATCAAAATATTTTGAAAAGAAAACACATACATCCTCTTAAACTTGTATAAAATGACCACGCCCCCAAAGTTGAAATATATAATTGCTGGAGTCATATTACAGACGAGTCAACTTTGATACTGCCCTAATATATACATGTATTCCATTTATTTAGACATTTCACAGCGATGTTGTACTCACAACCTTTATTTTGAAAATCTGTTCTTTTATTTCATGTGTAGACCTAAAACTGAATGAACAGGTGTTCAATACTGTCAGAAAATATATCTTGTTTCCCAGAGAATTATGACTAATATTGAAGAGTATTTTATTTGCTTTACTTATATAAATAGGGTGAATCCCCATATGAACGAGCCACATACAGATACACACCATTGTTGGCATGGTTACTGACTCCGAATATCTACCTGTCTTCATCATTTGGAAAAGTTGTCTTCATCCTCTGTGATGTCATCACTGGTTATCTCATATACTGTATACTGACATTGCGGAAATGTCGCCATGACACAGCGCATATTTCATCACTCATATGGTTATTCAATCCACTGCCTATGACTGTTTCCAGTCGTGGAAATGCCGAGTCCATCATGTCTGCCTTAGTGTTACTCACAATTTACTGTTTGATGGTGAAAAAGACTAAGACATCAGCGTTCTGCTATGCCCTCTCGGTGCATGTGAAGATATATCCAGTCACATATGCTATTCCAATGTATTTTATTCTTAATGGAGATTTTAATATGGAAACACAAAAAATAGAAACTGACAATAAAAGGAAAAAAAGAACTAACCATCAGAACTTTCTAATGAAGATTTTTTGGCCAAACAAATTTCGATTGCAGTTTGTGTTTGTCTCAGTGTTAACCTTTGTAATTTCAACATGGCTAGCATACTATTGGTAAGTACTGTACCCAGTATTGTTTATTATAAGACACAGTGAAATATGATCTCATACTGAAAATACTTAAAGGGGATATTTGAGATCTATGAATGAATCCTGGAGATTAAAACAACTTGTATGTGTTGCAAAACGCCCTAAATATCGAGCATAAAACAGGCAGTGAAGTAGGCTTCAAACATCCACTTTGCATGGTGTTATTTCGCCTCTAGTGAATACTGATAATTGAACCAATTCATTCTACATGTAGTACGACAATCGCATAGAAGTGCTTCTATGAATGACCTTGTTTACTGACAATTTAAAAGTGTGAAATGTGAGATGTTGTGCATATGAATGCCATAATGGTTCATTTTAAGTTTCTAAAAATCCCAAATGAAAATTCATGTTGTTGTAGCAAAAAAACTAACCTGAAAGTGAAGACACATACAGCGTTCTAGCTATAGTAAACAGCGAGTAAATAAATATTGTACAAGTTAAAACTAAATTAGAAATATGCTAACATCACTTGAACAGTACTCATTTCGCCCAACTTACCACTTTTGAATCAACCACTTATCACTTAATTTCTGACCACACTGTATTTTCGACCAGAAAACTACCGCAATATTTCTTGTTTTATTCCTCTCGCTCGCTTATTGATAAGACCAGTCGCTCGCCCAAACACTGACCACTGGCACAGGAGTGGTCAAAATTGGTGGTTTTAATGATACAGTTTGAGTATTACCGGTAACTATTATTAATAAATTTAGAAAAACTCTTTAAATCTATACCACTTTGTATCGTTCATGAACGCAACTTGAACTGTGTCCAATATTAAATAAATTGAATTTGCGTAATTGTTATGAAAGCGATATATTACTATGTTGAAATTTTAGAGCCAGTACAATATTGTGAACAAATTTGAGTAATTAGAAAAGCAGTGCACTAAACAATCTTGAAATATACAAGTTTGCGTAATTACAGCACTGTCGAAAATAATAACAATTTTACAAGATCAATGCGCGGAGCATGGAAGAAAAAGATTGATAAGGTAACGTGCCAGTTCAGTGCGTGACTTGGGGTCAAACTTCGGTCATGATTACTAGTAACCGTGCTTCGGTCAACAAACATTAGATGTCAGCATTGCCGTGCAGTAAGTTTTGCAATGAAGTTACTACAATTCTCAGTGTCTTAAATACAAATGTGTGTGACTTTGGAATGTTTTCATTTTGAATATTTATTGCATCATCAAAAAAGATATGTATCAAATAGAAACCAAAACGTAATTTATGCCACATGTTACCGACTAAAATAAATTACTTGTTATTTGGCAGATTATTGTTTTCCCTGAATGATTGACCTAAACAGATGTATCTTTTGTGTTACATGTAATTTGTTAGTCCCCGTTCGAACGCAGTCCGAAAACGGGGACTTATGTTATGACCTCCATGCGTGCGTGCGTCTGGCCGGACCTGTATCTTAGAATTGCCTGGACCATTCACCAATCACAATCAAACTTCATACATACATCATACATGATATTATACATATACACATTAATTTGTTTCACTGTATGATTCAAGATGGCTAAATGGCAGCAATTTTTGTTCTAAAAATCACCAAAATCAAGCATTTCTTGGCTGTTTACACGATGGATTTTGTTCAAACTTGGTATATACGTTGGACATTATAGGACCTTGATGCACATCATTTTGTTTTCAGATAAGATTCAAAATGGCCGACTGGTGGCCATTGTGTTCTAATAAATGTGGTTCTACTAGTAGTGCCATATCTCTGACTTGCTGTGACTGATTATGTTCAAATTTTAAATATTCATTATACATCATGTCATAGATATACACATATATTGGTTTGACGATCCTATTAAAAATGGCTGAATGGTGGCCATTTTTGTGTTAAAAAACATCAAATATCAAGCATTTCTGGATGGATTTTGTTCAAACTTGGTACATACATTACATTACACATACATTACACATTACGGGTTCCTGATGCACGTTATTTTTTCCGTACGACTTCGTCCGCAAATCTAATTGCTTTGATATTATATATACTACATTGGCATACAGGTAGACCTCTCTCCGATTTGTTCATTTCGTGATGATTTTGTTCTTAAATTATCTAATTTTAATTAATATTTTTGATAAAAAGTTATAAAAAGTCTGATTGCTTTAATACTATACATATTGTTCATTTCCGAATGATATCTTCTGTTCTTTAATTGCAATGTGCATTGCTAACAGCGGAGCAATCTCAGCCGACAGGCTGCTAGTTTTTTAGATCAGATTCAGAATGGCTGACTAGTAGCCATTTTGTTTTAATGAAAGGGCTTCTAGAGCCATATCTCTGACATGCTTTGACTGACTATGTTCACATTTCATTATACATGTATTTAAATAATGCTGTTCCAGAGCAATATCTCTCAATACTCTCAGATACAAATGTTAATCATTTAAATGTTAAACAATCATCATATTCATATTCCTGACATGTTTATATTCCCGCTATATTACTGTAAACAAAATTATACATCTTAAATTTGATAACTAACAGGGACTGTGCCATGCATGGCTTGTTATTTTCTTTACTTGACAGGTATGGATTCAAAGCTATACAAGAAACCTATCTGTACCACATCACTAGAAAAGATATTCGTCATAACTTCTCTGTATACTTCTACATGTTATATTTGACTGCACAGTTGGACATTTCGTCATTTCTGGGAATTCTTAGTTTTCTCCCACAGTTAATTCTGCTTGTGGTGGCATCTTTGAAATATTATGAAGACATTCCATTCTGCTGTTTTGTTCATACTTTCATATTTGTTACTTTTAACAAAGTGTGCACTTCTCAGGTAGGTATTCTTAATGACTCCGATAATAAAATCACTGTCAACAAATCAAATCCCTTCTCTTCATTTGTATGAATATTTATAAACTCCAATGACAGTTGATTCCAACCAGCCAATCAATGAGCACAGGTTGCAATGACATCATTTAAAAATGTTCAGTGTTAAATTGTGAATTTTCTAAATATTTATTGAAATTTGATTTTTGTTATCAGTAAACCCATTCAGTTACCGGTATTGATAATTCAACAGGCTTCAATCATAAAAAAAATGTTGCACTATTTTAAAAAATCATGCAGTCATATAGCACTAATACATATTGGTAGTAATACTGACAGAAAAATATTCTCTCTAAAAGTAAACAGTATATTTACAAAGAATGTACATATTTTTTGAGATAAATAAATAAATTTTTCTAATTAACACAACTAATTTCAATCAGCAAACTAGGTAATTATATATTCCGAGAATATTGTTCACACTGTTGAACTGATGGCAGTGTTGTGTATAGCGATAGAGTGACACGGTTTTTTTGCAGCTCCTGAAAACTTCTGATTTCACTTCATTAGTATACACTCTAACTACTTTGAAGCCTGGAAATGAAATGCAATGACTGTGGCACAACTAGAAGCGTCTGTCTTGGCCAAGGAGACCTTGAACTTTGTAGGAAATGTGAGTTGAAGCGTTTTCCGAAAGATGCCTGTACTGGATCACCCAAGATGGCCGATGAAGGACACCAACACCAGCTTAAAGACATCATACCTACCCTGGAGGCTCTTGGCCGTAAAACCGACCATATACCATCATTGAAAAGGAAGGTTAGTGAATTACAGAAATCCGTTGATTACATCGACAATTTTTTTGAAGAGTACAAGGCACGCATGGAGGAAATTGTTAAAGAAAATCATGAGTTAAAAGCCAAACTCGAAACAGTACAAACCAACTTAGGTTCAGCCACTACTGAATTACAAGAATTACAACAATACACAAGGCGCAACAATCTGGAGATACATGGCATCCAGCAACAGCCAAATGAAGATACAGATAAGTTGGTTGTGCAAGTCGCGGACTCTGACGACATTGACGTAAGCCATCGCTTACCAGCAAAAACAGGCCCACGACCAGCACCTATTAAATAAATCATCAAAGGACATGAATATAGACCGCATTACAACAAATACCGTTTATATCAACGAGAACCTAACAGCTGCCAACAAACACCTCTTTCACAATGCGAACGTGGTCAGAAAACAGTGTGGATGGAAGTTTATATGGACAGTCGGCAGTAAGATTTATGTACGACGATGTGAGGGAACTAGTGCTCTAAGGATAACATCACTTAAAGATATTGAACGTATTCAACAACCGTCGACTGATGTTATCACCGCCGACTGCTAATACACATAAATATATTAAACGTTTAAGTCACAACCTGAACTATTATGGATACACAAAATGACAATGCCATCGTTAAGTATAACTGTAATTCTTACTCAGTTGACCAATTCAATTCACATTCTATCTTTTCAAATTTCTCGCATAATTTAATTCATTTTAATATCAGATCTTTATCTAAACATTTTGAGGAACTTATTGCTTTTTTGAGTGTCATAAAACATAATTTTCTTTTTCTTGGCCTGACCGAAACATGGCTGAATACAAACTCTAACTGCTCTCAATATAATTTATCATCTTATAATTTAATTACATGTAACCGTGACATTTCAAAAGGCAGAGACGTAGCACTGTATTTTCACGAATCCTTGACTTTTACCCGTATTAACACATTCAAAATTATGCACTGTGAATCGATCTTTGTGGAAACCCACATAAACAACAAAAAGATTATCATAAGTACCGTAAACCTAACACTCCATATCATGAATATTTTGACAGTTTAGAGCTATGTCTACACCAGTTGTCAGCCAAGGCTATTGATTCTATTATACTTGGCGACGTGAACATTGACACGTCTGTTGATTCCCCACCTGCCACTCACTACAACACTATTCTCAATTCGTACAATTTTTTCCAAATTATCAGCACACCTACTAGGGTCACTGATACTTCTAGTACTGCAATTGATCACGTTCTTACGAATGCATTCACACAGATATTAGCGACCATTTTCCCCTTATTGTAATTTTAAAAATTGTCAGCACGCTTTTAAAAAAGAGGATACGGTCTTGAAGTATGACTATACTAATTACAACCAATCCATGTTTATTGCAGACTTGAACGAGATATCTTGGCAGCCAGTGTATGATCACTCCGACCCTAGTGATGCATATAATACATTTTATGACTTATTTTATACGGTTTTGTGTAAGCATTTGCAGGTCAAATTAAACAAAAGGAAATTAAAACATCCATCTAAAGCATGGTTGTCAAAAGGTATAATTAAATCAGTTCAAGCCAACCACAAATTATTTGCCAAGATGAAAAAAAATCCTGGCAACTTTGAAAAACAAACGAAATATAGAACATATAGAAACCTTTTGACTAAACTCCTCAAGTCAGCAAAGAAACGCTATTATTCAAATAAATTCAAGTCCGCGCATGGCAA